CATGGCCAGATGTGGTGCCACACACCCATAATCCCAGCGCTCAGGAGACAGAAGCAGGAGAATCCCTGAAGGTTCAAGGCCAGCCTGATCTACACAGCAAGTTCAAGGTATCACCTATGAACTGAAAAGTGGTCCCACTGTGCTCTGAATTCATAATGGCTAGAAACCTATAAAGTCTCCTCTAGGTTCAAATATTTTCTTACAACATTTCAATGAACCTAGACGAAGTCAGTGTGTAATGAAGTCAACTTTCTGGCTTCTTCAGCAATAACAGCTTCTCCCTGGCCATCCTATCCCATATATTTGCAATTTATCCCCCAACACTCACTTTTAAAGGTGAATAATATAGTAGAATGTTTACTTTGTGATATTCAAAGAACCACAATTTTATTTGAACTGCTGGGGTTTTTTTTTTTCAGGTTCTTTACTTTTTACCTTTCCTTTTTGTCTTTTATTTTGTTTGTGCTTTCTTTTGTTTTCTTTATAGCTTGAGAATTCAATTAATTAAAATTCAATTCATTTTAGATTTCTGGATGTTTTGGGGGGCCATAACTTTTCCTTGGGCATGCAGATGTTCTTGAGCTAGCTCATGGATTCCAACATGCAGCAACCCTGTGGTTTCTGAAATTTCCAATACACAGGGATTGGGAGGTGCTGTTTTAATTTTTTTTTTTCTGGTTGAAAAATATACCAGCTATCAAATTATTGCATCTCAGATCTGAATTCATGCTTGTTTGCTCTGTGGAAAGGGACGTGTTTAGCTTTGACAGTAGAGGGCACTAAAGAGACACTGCAAGAGGCTGTCCCCTTTGCTCACTTTCTAGCGCCCTGGCTTTAGAAGCATGGGTAGTTTCCTCTCCAGATTCCTCTCCAGAGCCCACCTCATGGTGGTGAGAGCTTCTTCAGTAAGCAGTCAATGTGGCTTCTCCAGTCCTGGCTCCTCGGTGCTCAGAAGCAACACCATGGAACAGCCAGATGCTTGGGGTCATCTTATAACCCAAAGATTTGTTCCAGTGAGGCCTAGCCTACCAACAACTGCTCCATATTTACAAGGTAGATCTCCAGCCAATCCCAAGGGATGGATTTCCAGCAATTTCCACTAATGTAATACAGCAGGAACTTCTCTGCTACTCACAAGCCATGTATTCTCTAAGGTCTGGCTCTCCTTATAGGGGCCTCCTTGTCATGCTGGCTTAGACCTACAGAGTGACTGCTTATTCTGTGCCATTCCTGTTACTTGGAGGTTCCTTTTGTCTTCCATAAAGTCAAACCATTGAGGAAGAGGCAGGAGAGCGGGCAGGAGCTAGCTAGAACAAGGGGAGATTCAGCGAGAGTTCTATGAATAGAAGGGGCTTGACCGTGGCTTGAACGTGTGTGGGAAAGGACCTGCAACTTGTAGATTTAGGGCTTATGGAAATGAATGAATGGCTAAGAGAAAAATGTCTCCAGCAAAACACAGCATGGCATGGAAAGCAAGTCCTTGTTCTGGACAAGAAGTCCATCTGTGGACCAAACTTCAATAAGAGACGCCTTCTGTGTGAGTTAAAAAGGTGGTTCCTGGAATCTACTCCAGACCAACTGAATCAGAACCTCTGGGAAAAAGGACTGTCCCAAGCTGTCTACGAAACTGACTCCATTCCAAGGCCTGCCACTATGGCACCTCATCATCTCTCCCCTTCTTCCTTCCCACACCCCCTTGCTGATTCTCCCTGGAAATGGCTGAGTAAAGATGGCAATGGGGACATGGCAATCTTAAATGTATCACAACACAGATGCCCGAAATACATGAAGCAAAGACGATTAGAATAATCTTGAGTTCTGCCACATTGCAGTATCCATGACCAAAATACAAACTCAATTGTATTTCTGTACATTTGCCATGAACAATCTGTACAAGAAGATGACAGATCCATTTACAGCAGCATGGCAAAGGAAATTTAACAAAAATCAAGACTGAAAACTACAGCTATGGAAAAGAATTTAAGACACAAGGAAGTGGGAAAATATCCACATTCCAAATTGAAGGCTTAACTCCGTCAAAATGGCAGTACTCGGACACATGCCATCTACAGATTCGACACACTTCTCATCAAAATCCCAGCTGCTGTTTTTCCCAAAATGGGCAAGTGGATCCTAATTCATACAGAAATCCAAGGCATCTAGAAGAAACAAAACAATCTCGGAAAAGAACAAGGCATGTGCAGTGGCAAAAATAAGTAGTTCCAGCTCCTCTGGAGGCTGGGGCGGGGAAATGATTTGAGCCTGGGAATTTGAGGTTAGCCTGAGAAACATAATGAGACTGAGAGACCCCTATCCACAAAAAACAAAGAAAAGGAAAAAAAAATGAAAAGGAACAAAGTCAAAACTTACTGTAACGATATAGTAGTCAAGTTCATTGTGCTTGAATAATTGTGGCATAAAGATCAATGACTTCAAACTGAGAGTTCAGGGCTGGTTATGGACTACTTGGTAAGACGGTATCTCAAAGCAGCAACAATACAGAATTCAGAAATAAACTTTTAACACATATGGCCATGGACTTAATTTTTTAACATTTTATTACTTTAAAAATTGTAGGGGGAGTATATGTTGTATATGTAGTTATTCATGTGGATGTATGTCTTTGTGCATTGTTTGTGTGTGCATGAGAAGGACAGAGGCTAACATTGGGCATCTTCCCTCCATTGCTCTTTATCTTTGTTTTTTGTTTTTGTTTTTTGAGACTGGGCCTCAAGGGGGAGAGATTGAGGGAGGCACACTATCAGCCTCTGGCCTTTATAGGCACTCATACAAACAAAACCCAAGGTGGACAATCCTTAAGGAATGACTGCCACAGTTGTTTTCTAGTCTCCACAGGCATTCACTTATACATATGTGCACATACACATACAGTTGGGCATGATTGTCCATGCCATTAATCCCAGCACTCAAGAGACAGAGGTAGGCACATCTCTGTGTGAGGTCAGCCAAGGCTACACAGGGAGACCTGTCTCAAAAACAAAAAAGAGTATATATGACAGTTATTTATGTACAGAGAATCATGTACCCACAGAGATATAAATGTATATACATGTTTCTTACGTGTTAGATGGATTGGGCCAGGCAATGAATTCAGATGGGTGTTGTTAGATACAAAGTAAATGGAAGAGTTAATAAAGTGCCCCTCCAGAGCCTGGAGCATTATTATTGGCCCAGTTTTATAGACAAAAAAATCTGGGCTCTACAGAAAGTTAAAGGCATACAGGGAGTACAAGATGGAAGCCAGATTCCAACCTAGGAAGTTAATAGCAGAGCTGGGCAACACGACTCCACTCCTGGGAACATGTGTCTCTGTTCTAAGATGCAGGCAGGATGGCAAGCAAGTATTGGTAAGTCTCTTTCCACAAGATTGCTCTCTCTTGCTGGTGCCAGTGTACAACTCAGCAGAAAGCTCTTAGCATTTGGGTGCCTACCATCTGTTTAATAGACATCATAGACGACTTGGTTGCTGTAATTTCTGGAGTGAAATTCAGGACAAAGCAATCTCTTTGCAAATACTGAGGCAGCCTCTCTCCTTCAGGGAAGAGATAAAGTGACAAGTGTCTGACAATTCGAACATTCAGCAGGGAATGATCAGATAGATGGCTTTGTGACACAGGCCCTGATGGAAAAGAAACCTTTGAAAATTCATAGCAACATTTAACTCTCTCCTCCCTCTCTCCCTCTCTCCCTCTCTCTCTCTCTCTCTCTCTCTCTCTCTCTCTCTCTCTCTCTCTCTCTCTCTCTCTCTCTGTGTGTGTGTGTGTGTGTGTGTGCCTGTGCGCTCAGGACTACAATGAGGGTGAAGCTAATCTTCAGTGTTAAGTCCGAAAGTCTGAGACATTTCTGTGCTTTCATATAAATTCAGAGTTTTGTTTTTTTAACCTTAATTTTTGCCTGCCTATCAAATGAATACCAGGCCCCAAATCTTCTTATTTTGGACTGTTTCTGAGAGCTAGATTCCCAGATGTGGAAAAACCCCCAATCAAATGGTACGAACATTTTTAAAGCCGTTGATTGGCATTGCCAAACCTTTGCAAAAAAGATTGAACCAATTTACACTCCCACCAGCAGTGAACGAGAATATATTTAAATGCAAATCCTAAGAAGCAGAGTGTCTCTTTCTTAGGTATTTCACTTTAAAAAAAATTTTTTTAATGCTAAGCAAAAGCTGACCCAGGGTTTTATAAAAGGAAAGTCTGGCATAAAAGTGGAACATAGTTAAAACAGCTTAGGAAAAAAAAAGCTTTCAAAGACCCAAGCAGGCCGATAAAAATGTCAAGGCGCCATAGAAAGAAACATAACTGCAAAGGGGCCATTAACAGTTTGGCTTAGGTTGGGATGGTAACCGCCAAGAATCTTGGGCGTGGCCAATGTACCAAATTCTAGTTTATAAAAGGCAAAATATTAATACTTCACTTTGTTCTAAAGACGACTTAAGAAAGTCTTACGCCAGGAGCTAGAGAAACTGTATTGTCTGTAAAATGAAGCTTGTGGAAACGACACACACCCGTGCCCCTTCGCTCCGGGCATGGGACAGCAGGCCTGCACAAATCTGAGAACACCTTTATCAATTGGGCACAGTGATGGCAGAGGCTGCGGACGCGGAGGCAAGGAAAGCCCACACTCGGCGGCCAGCCAGCTGCCTCCACAAATTCAAGGGGTGCAGGGACTTGCGGTCAGGCCGACCCCTCTAATCACGCCCCCGCCGGTACACAACCCAAGAGCCACACGACTCTTCCTTGGTACCCCCTCCCACCCGCCGCGCCAGAAGGAGCCCCACCTCCGCGTGGGCCACTTTGTCCTCACTTGGGTTCCTCCCCTTCTTTCCGGCCCTCCTCCGAGCGCCCCCTACCCTCCGGGCCTCGGGCACTCGGCTACACTCGGCTCTGCTCGGAACTCCCCGCCCCCGCGGCGCCTGCAGCCAATCAGCGCCCAGCCCCGCCCCTCGCAGCCGTTCTAGGCGGGCCGGCCGAGCACAGGCCGAACCGGGCTGAGGGCGGCGCCGCGGGCGGGGGCGATGGGGCCTGGCTGCCGGGCGGCGGTGGCAGCGGTGGCGGGGCTCGCCTAGACGCGAGGGCGCGGGGAGGCGAGAAGCGAGTGGGTGCTGCGGCCCACCCGGGATGGGCCAAGCCCGGCCTGGCGGGGCCGAGCGGGAGCCGAAGGCGGCACGCGGGCCGGGCCTGCGGGCCGGGCGGCCCGGGGGCTGAGGTAGAGGTGGGCGCGGAGGAAGGGGCCGGGCGAGGCGGTGGGAGGAGCGGCGAGGGGGCGGAGGCTGGGCGGCGAGAAAGCGGCGCCTGGCCCGAGGCGGCGGCGCCGGAGCAGGCTGAGGCGGCGGCCGGGACGAGCGCCCTGAGGTGGCGGCCGCGGCCCCATGGGCGGGTGCGTGGGCGCCCAGCACGACTCCTCGGGCAGCCTCAACGAGAACTCGGACGGCACTGGAGGTAGGTGGCGCCAGGGGGCGGCCGCGGCCCCCCATTGTTCGCGGCGGCGGCCACCTGTCCCGACCCCGCGCCCCTTTGTCGTTCGTGCTCCGCGTCGGCCCCGCCACGCTCCGGGCCCCACGCGGGGCCGCGGGCCTAGGCCTGGCTAAAGGGAGTCCGGTCCGGAAAAATAGTCGGCGGCAGGATGGCGGCTCTCGGGGCCGGGGAGGGGCGGCCGCCCCGAGTGCCCCCGACGGGCCCCGCCGCACCCCCGGCCCTTCCCGCGTCGGCTGAGTTGGCCGGGCTCAGCTTTCCCGGGTTTCGGATGACAGCTGCCCCGGTTGGTTACAGTTTCTGGAGCTGGGCTGGGGAAGTCTCAAGTGGCCATGGGCAGTGTTTTAAGGAGAGGGGGGAGACGATCGGCCCGAGGAAAACGTGGCTTGTTGCGGCTGCCAGGGGCGTTAGCCCAGTGTGCCGTCGGGGCGCACTAGTCAAATTCCGATCTGTCTTACGTAAAAGGAAAACGTGCAGGATAAAAGTACCCAGTATAAGATTAGTGCTTTGACTAAAAGTTTTCCAACGCGGATCGCACTTCTCGGTTAGGTTATAGTAACCATGATGAGAGGTCTCTTGATTCCATTCTTAGTTGTAGAAGGGAAGAAGAGTAAGAGTAAGATTGATTCCACTTTTAAGTGACGTTCAAAGTGCCGAGCCCTTTCATTATATAGAATGTGTAGAAGTTCGAACGTTGAAGAGCCACCAGGGAATGGCAACGAAAACTTGATTTGATACAGACCTGATATTGGGTGCCTTCAAATCGGGCGCATATTTTTAAGTTGTGGAGTTTCTTGGGAATAGAATAGGCGGGGGTCACACTTTTCGCACCTTGCTTGCCCTGTGCTTAAACTCTGCCCTTGATTCTGTGCACCCATCTTTGTACTGGAGATTTCCCGGTTTACGTGATGCATAGTATGCTGCTTCACTAAAATCTATCGGTATTACCTGTCACTAAATGTTGGACAAATGATTGAGAATTCAGTGGAAGTGATCTTGAAAAAGAAGTCCATGGAAATGCTCCATTGTAGTGCATTTCATGTCACAGCCTATTTACTTGGTGAAATCCTTGGTGACAGAGCCAAAGTATAGAAAGGGAGTGATTAAAAACTCCCTTAAGGTTAAGGGCAGATTGGTGGTCAGATGGTACAAGTTAAGTATGCTAGTACTTACTAGCATTCAGTTTAACTTTCACATGTTAAAATTATAATAAACATTCCTCTTTTCCGTACTCAGATTGAACCAGTTTAACCCATTTGGCAGTGCAATTTAGGATCCACTCACATTACTGGCTTGGGCTTTTAGAAGCCTGAAATCCTAGCTTTAGATAATTACTACCAGTGGCATCCAATTAGATAGCTACAGTATCAGTTACTTTCAGGACTTAAGTTTTCTGAACCATAAACTGTTATGTTTTTGTACAGAAGAGTCTTTAAAAAGGGGAGTACCTCCTTTTTTCTTCAGGGGAGAGGGCATAGGATAGCTCTGATGTAGCTGGAAGAAGAAAGAGTCTGTGGGGGACGAAAGAATTCTTCTGGAATTTAATTTTGGAAGCCTTTATTCTTCATTACTGTCTTGAGAGGTGAGAGCTCATTGTGGAGCCAGCAGCTTGGGAGGCTGGAGCTGGAGGCTCTTAAGTTCCTGGCCAGTTTGGGCTACAGAGCAAAACCTTGTCTCCAAAAACAACAAAAAGTTATTGTGGTATGTGTTTCAGGTTTACATGTTAACAGTTCTTTTTTGTTGTTTGTTTGAAAGGGAATGACTTTCCTAAGGGTGTTGTCAAAGATCCTTAGCTTTTCAAACATTAGTAGTTTTAATCTGGTTATACTGAGTTTTAACATTTTCATCAACCTGAAGTTAATACAGCCTTCAGATTTGTTTCATGACAGTTTGTATTCACACTGCTATGTGAGCATTACCATTGTAGAATGACTCCAGGCTTTCCAAAAGTCAGCTGGTTCATAATAAATATGATTTAGAATGCTTGGATATTGTACTTTTCATTTCATTATGAATCCAGTTTTCTTTTTTATTTTTATTTTTATACTTTATTTTATGTGTTGGTGTAAAGGTACCAGATCCCCTGGAACTGGAGTTACAGTTTGTGAGCTGCCATGTGGGTGCTGGGAATTGAACTTGGGTCTTCTGGAAGAACAGCCAATGCTCTTAAATGCTGAACCATCTCTCCAGTCTGTGGATCCAGTTTTTAATATTAATTTATTTTTTTGGCTTTTCGAGACAGGGTTTCTCTGTGTAGCTCTGACTGTCCTGGAACTCTCTCTGTAGACCAGGCTGATCTTGAACTCAGAAATCTGCCTGCCTCTGCCTCCCAAGTGCTGGGATTAAAGGTGTGTGCCATCACCGCCAACTTAATCCAAATGTTTTTACTATGAGTATATAAATATTAAAAAAAAAAAACAACCTTATTAGGTAGATTATTTCTGTGAAGGAATTTGGAGAATTCTTATAAAAATTATAAAATTAAGATGGCTTAATTCTCATGCTAAGATTTTATTATTGTTTGAGTATTGATATTTATAGTTCTTTCTCTGGTTGAGTTTTAAGCTAGTTAGACCTTTTTTAATGCTTTATTTTAAACAAGACAGTTCTATTATAGATTCAAGATTATCCAATAGTATTCTCTCTTTTCATTCTCCTTGAGTCAGCTGTTATAGCTTTTTTTTAATAGCGTATTCTCTGTGGTTCTCAGTTTTTTTTTTTATGATGACATTGTGAAGCTGGATTTGATATTTAGGAACCATAGACAAAGGGGTGTGTGTGTGTGTGTGTGTGTGTGTGTGTGTGTGTGTGTGTTGCACACATACATGGTGGACATCAATACAGTTAAGAAGACAGCAAGTGTGCTATTTTCTTAGTTCCTTTCTTTAGTGACACCCAAGAGAACTGGTCCTGGTGTCTGCAGGTTCCTAGGTTCATAAGAAGCCAGCCAAATACTGGACATGTGTTGCTTTAATCATTACTTCAGAATGTTTCAGCAGCATCATGGAATTCTTTCAGATACCCATTTATAGCAGCCTTACAGACACCTACTCAGTGAGTAACAAAGACTTTAGAATAATAAAATCTACCGTTTATCTGATATTTATTATGTAACAAGTGCTGTGCTAAGGGAGATGCATTGAGTCCACAGTTCTTTGAGTTGTATGTCAGTCATCTCTATATTGTAGGTGAAGATTAAAGCCTAACGAAACAAATGCCCTTGACACCATATAGCTTATAATGACAGTGAGAACATTTTATCCATGGCTAAAATTAAAGACCCTTCCTTTCTCCTTTGTTTTTTTTTTTTTTATTTAAGAAACTTTCATATAATGTACTACCTAAGAGGTGTTATTAACTTATTTGTTTATTTTGGCTTTTCAAAACAAGGTCTGTGTGTAACCATGGCTGCCGAGAACTCACTCTATAGACCAGGCTGGCTTTGAACTCACAGAGGACCTTCTGCCTCTGCCTTCTGATCACTGGGACTAAAGGCATGAACCACCACATCTGGCTAACCATTTTGAGTTCAGTTTGCAGTATTATATAAACGTCATCACAATCCAGATCTAAAATTTTTTTTTCTGGTAGTATCTTTTCAATCTCTGATAACCATTAATATTGTAATCAATGTACATTATCTTTATGGATTTACCTGTTTAGGATGTTTCATATAAATGGAATCTCATAATAGTCTTTCCTTTGTGGTTTATTTCACTTAGCATAATATTTCCCAGGCTCAACTTATGGCAGATGCCAGTATATAATTTCTTTATGATTGAATAATATTCTGTTGTATGTATATACACATTTTATTTACTAGCCATTTGTTGGTTTGTATTTGAGTTGTTTCTACATTTTTGCTGCAAATGCATTTGTGAACCTCAGTTGCATAGATACCTATTTTCATTTCCTTTTTAAAGATACCTAGAAGTAGAACTGTTGGTGGATTATGACAATTCTATTTATCTTTTTGAGGACCTGCCAAACTTCATGGAGGCCATACTGTTTTTCATTCCTACCTAAAATCTTTTTGTAATTTCTCTCCCTTTTCACCGGTACTTGTTATTTTCCATTTTTAAAAAAATATCACAAGTATCAAGTTTGTGAAGTGCTATGTCCTTGAAGTTTGGTTTGTATTCCCTGATGAGTTCTGTTATTTAGTATCTTTTTATATATTTGATAGCCATTTATATACTTTTGGACAAAATGTCTAAGTCCTTTGCCTCTGTGATGCTGGGCTCTTTATGTCAGATGCATCTCTGCAAATATTTTTCCCATTCTGTGGATGAATTTTTTCATTTTCTGAATAATGTTCTTTTTGTGCAAATGTCTGTAATTTTAACAAAGTCTGATTTATTTTCTTTCATTGCTGATGCTTCTACTTTGAATTTTAAATATATTTACGTATCTGTCCCATGATTATAAATAAATACATAGATCTGTCAACAGTCATTCATTAGTCTATCAAGGAACGTTTATCTTCTCAGGAGTATAAAATACTCAGGCTTACTCCCCTTGATCTGGGAAAGACCATTAGCAGTGCAGTCCTTTCTGTAACTCAATTTCAGCTTTTTTCTCTCAGTGCACTGGAGCCTTGCACATGCTAAGTAAGCTCTGTCACTGAGCTACATCTCCAGCACTGTCTGAGTCAATATCTTTTTATGTAGCCCAGGTTAACCTTGAATTGAAGAGCATCCTACAATAACCTGAATGTATAGATGAGAGGAGTATGCCACACTCTCCTGTCTCCACTTCAGCTTCTTTAAAAAATACTGTGTGTGTGTGTGTGTGTGTGTGTGTGTGTGTGTGCGCGCGCGCGCGCGCGCGCGTGCGCATTATGTGTATACCTGGTTCTAGCAAAGGCCATAAAGTGGCTAAATCCCTGGAATGGAGTTAACAGGCAGATATAAGCCACCATGTAGCTTAAGTACTGAGCCATCTATCCAGTTCTACTTGAGTTTCTT